AAAATAAAAAAACATAGAACCAGAAATGGTATACTAGACAGTACCCCTGAAGTCCCGCATGAGTTGACAGGATTTACTGCGTAATGAAGTTGAGTAGGAACGCCTAATATCAAACAACAGTACAGTAACTTACCAATGGCTGGTGGTTAAATAAATATTGAGTCTTTATAACATGTATTACAGTGCATTATACTCTTTAAGTGTTACCAAAATTAGTTTGTAGAAAATGGATGTTGTAAACCGTACCAAATTACTTCATTGGCTATCAAAGCCACCAGAATGCACTGCATGAGCTTGTGTGGTGTAAACCTACAGCAGCAGTAACTTACAACAGAAAATCTTTTGGTTCATTTGTCTCATCATCATATCTGGACTTGGTCAATTCATGTCAAGTGATCGTGTGCCTTAAAGGTTTTTCCATACTAAATCCACATCACAAACATCCATTTAAGCTCCAGGAAGTCCTGGATTAAGGCTTTTGCAGCAGCTACAAACCCTGAGATTAACCACCATGAAACATCACTCCAGCTCTGCCACTACTTTCTCTAGTAATGTCTGCTGCAGAGATGCAATCATCATAAAGCCGTTGTATGGGTTTATTCTGTGCTGATCATATAGAAGGAACATGGCTGCATCCTGATTTGCATGCTCTGTACTGTGTAGTATGCAATCATTGTGCATTCAAAGTATTACTCCAAGCAGCGTTTCTAACAGAATCTACAGAAATATGCATCTGTTTATGCTATAGGACTAGTATTACCCACAACCCCTTACGTTTTATATATATATATATATATATATATTAATGTAATGTACATTTATGAGACTATACTTTGTGTTTTATTACCTTGGCATAAAATTACAGAAAACAAGTTGGCGCCGCTGCTTGAAAACAACGGCTGAAGAAGTGACTACAAATTTGATGTCTGTCTTTCTTCTCACCAACTTATATGGATAGTTCACCCAAAAATGAACATTTTGTCATCATTTACTCACCCTCAAGTTGTTCCAAACCTGTACGAGTTCCTTTCTTCTGTTGAACACAAAATAAGATATTTTGACGAATGTTGGTAACCAAACAGGTGACGGTAGCCATTGACTTTCTTGTTATTTATTTCCATACTATGGAAGTCAGTGGCTACCGTCAACTCTTTGGTTACCAACAAGTAAATGTAAATGAGTAAATGATGACAGAATTGTCATTTTTGGGTGAACTATTCCTTTAATCAATCTCTCAGTATCTTTGTTGTTATTGTTTTGTTTTGTTTTTAGGGTGTGGAGGAATTTTTTTTTAATCTGAAATATTATTCTTATTAGCTTTATTTGCTTTACTCTACCAAAGAGTGTTCTTTTCTTCTCTAAATGCCTCATCTGTATGCTTGAGTTATTTTGATGTATTAAAAGCAGTCCATGTGTCGAAGGTGCAAGGCAAGTGTGAGATAGGAAATTTAATCACTTAGCTTCTAAGAAATTGATTTGCATTAAATACTTAGAAATGCATCTAGGGGACGTAGTTGTATATCTTAAATGGACACATATGTTGAATATGCATTATGATTGGATGAGATAGAAGCATCCTGGTTTTATTAGGGTATAAATATTGAGTTAAAGTTTTCCTTCTTTTGTCGCAATCTACAGCCAACCCTGAATGACTGTATGAATGTAGACCTTTTCTTGCAAGAAAATAAATCTTCAGAAGACTTTTGTCTCGTACCTTTTTTGAAATGGAAAATTTCCACAACAAGGGCAAATGGGAATGCAGAAATTATATTTGTTGTAGTTTCCATTCACCACTATAGAAGTTTAACTGACTATGATGACTTTTGCTTCTAAGAACCCTTAAAATGTGGAAAGGGTCCAATGAAATGACTGGTTTTCGCCCACAAAAATTTCCCTAACAGTGATAAATGTGACCATCCCTTACGAGGTCTGTGGTATTAAGATGCAGTTACGACAATATGAAGTCTTACAACATACTCAAACGTTTGGACACACCACTAGCTTTGTATCATGATTCTATGAATGTATGAACTTTACTTTTTGTTGACATATACGCAAGTTGTCTACATATAGAAATTGTGCTTACTTATGATTAATTATTATTTTTAATTATTCTGAAATGTGTAAATAATGAAAAATGTATGTATGTGTCCAAACATTTGACTAGTAATGGCGTTTATGCAGTGAACTCATCAGGGTTCTTCATCAGTGGTTGTTGTTTTTAACAGCTCAAACTGTGTGCTGGTGCTGGGAGTGTTGTTTTGTGCATCTGAGTGGTGTGCGGTGTCGAGGTTGTTGTGCAGTGTTTTGAGTCATACGTCTGAAATCTCACACCACACCAACTGGAGGAACAAGTCCTAACATTTAACTCACACATGCACACCAGTAGAAAACTGCACCTATGAACTCTATGCACTGATAGATTAAGTTAAGTTTAGGACGACTTAAAGTGGATCACCGTTAGCATTAGCATGCATGCTAAATGCAAACAGGGTTAGAGGCAGCTACAACCACTTCAGTATAGCTTCCTGATACTTTAGTCAGAGGAATTTCATTATATATATATATATATATATATATATATATATGAATACATATATATGTATTAACGTTTAGCATTAGCAAAGGCGTTGTCGTCTCTTTCTTTTCTTTTTCTCTCCCACACACTTTGAAAAAAGAGAGCACCATACTCTGACTATCTGACAAAACAGACACCAGGGATGCCCAATCTCAGCCGGCTCCTCCGGTTGCCATGACCACAAGCACTCCAGTAGAGGTCTATTTAGGTCATTTTGTTCTATAACCTGTCAGCCTCTGTGTGTCAAATTTGAGAGGATCTAAAAAATCAATAAGAACGTCAGAACTTGTCTAATCAGCCATATTTTAAAGGGCTAGTTCACCAGAAAATGAAACTTCTTGTCATCATCTACTCAGTCATGTTCTAAACTTGTATGACTCCGTGGAAGACATAATAAGAAATTCTAAAAAAAATTTAAAAAAATTAAAATCCTGGCCGCCGGTTTCCATGAAAGTGACTAGGTCTGGGTCCAAAATGACGAAAAATAAAAAAATAAATAGTACATACGACTTGTGTGTTTCTGAAGCAAAATGGTGGTTGGTTTTGTTTATACTGCTTTAAACTAGCATGTTTTATTTATTTGTGTAAGTTCTTGGTGTTTTGTACAGATAGAACTTTGTTGTGGCTTGTTCATTTTCAGGACTTCATAACAACATCTGCACATTTTGGCATTTGGCATTTGGCGCTGGTAGCGATTCTTTGTTCCTACTGCGTCCTCTCGGGACCTCTGCCTGTGTTTGTGTATGTGTATGTACACTGCTTTTTATTCCATATTTGTAGATGATCTGATTAAGGTCCTTTTATTAGCGTGGGTCTCTTCTTCCAGAAATCATCATCAACTGATTTCTGAGAGCTTTTCTGGCAGGTTACTTGGCTTTCACAAGCACACTGGCTAATGAGCGATAGGACTGTTTCTGGGGGTTGTTTTCTGGAGTAGACTTCATGTTTGCCTTCAGAATTCAATGAGATGTTCATTAACGCTCTTTGTAAAGTCAGGCTCTTTTTTGGTGCTTTAGGTACCAAGTATTAGTATTGGCTAGTTTTAATAAGATTAAAGAAGAGTTAAGTTGGGTTGTTCAACCAAAAATGATAGTTCGTCAGTTTAGTCATCGTCATCCATATGCGCCTTTGGTGTTTATATGACAGTAGAGAAGAGCTGGGTGATAGATACTCTAAATTTTTCTATTTGGATTAAAAATATATATTTATTTACTTTTTTTTTTTCACATCCTGCACAGTGTTGTCCAATGAAACAATGTTTAAAGGTAATGAAAACAAATTTAGTGAAAGTAACCATGAATGCTATGCTATATATATTATGTGCAAAACAGGGGCTAAAAGCACATTACATTCTAACATTGTAACATTATAATCTAAAAACAATGCTATTTAAAGCAGAAGTTAAGTTCACTAAACTAAAAATGAATAGAAATAAAAACAAAAGCACAGGTTAATTGCATTGTATTTTGATTACCCCATTACATTAGTCACTTTACAGTTACTGCTATCATAAAACACACTTAGCCTACTTTGGGGTTTAAAATTCTACACATGGCACATTTATTGTCCAACTCCAAATATTTTAGTAAAATGTATATTTTAGGCGGCACTCGTTCACTGAAAGCTGTGAAGTTTAGCGGAGAATTGCATACAGTAGGCTCGTACACTCCTGACAGCAAAATGGAAATATTTCCACGACTTAGACTTGGATGAAATGTAAGTTATGCACTGAGGAAAACAGCACATCTCAAACGCATTAAACAGCACAAGTAGTCTCTCTGTCAGCAGCACATGAGTCTGTCGGAGCATCTGACGTTGCGAGCCGCTTTAAACTATACGTGTTAACTATATCTTACCAGTTATTTTAAAGCCCTTAATATAAGCATGTCTCATGTTTAGGACAAATTGGATTATGCACTTTCCCCGCAGCAGCTCACTCTGCGTCCTCTGCTATTATTCAGATGCTCTCGTATCAAACTACTGTATGTTGAGGCAGTATAGCCTCATACTATGTCGCTTATAAAAAATATATCGATATATACTCGATATACCACCCAGCCCTACAGTAGAGTATCTAATCGGTACATTAATTCACTAATTATTCTTTTGCAAAGTCATGAAGAACAAATAAAGTTCAAAGTTAACACTGACTAATCGAATGACAGAAATTGACTGCTTTTACATGACACAACAACAGCCGAGGAGGAGACACTAGGCCTTTTATACGATTCAGAGTTTCCGAATTATTGTGTGAATGGTTGTTCTGGTCTAAATTAGTGTAAACATGACATGAAACAGCATTAAAACACCTAATATGTGATGATAACCAAGTCAGCTCAAGAGGCTGTTTTTGTACTGTTGTGTCTGATTATGATATCTAACTCTATTAATGTTATTTCTCATACTTTCTGTCTCTCTGTAGGTGGATGAGGACGTAGCATTGGATCAAGCTGTTAAGTTCTGCCAGATTCAGATGGCGACGTCGGCACAAAGACAGGTAGGACACACAGACTCTCTCTGTCTCACAGCAGGAAATAACACCGGCTGCTTTTCCCTCTGGAATGCAAATCCAATATTCTCTCCTCTGCTCACTCTGTTGGAAACACAGCAGACGCACTGGATGTGTTCACATTTGGCTGTGGTGCCTCCCCCTCTGCTACCCCTTTCTCTCTCGTTTTAGGTTTCTCTCTCCCATCCCTCCCACACGCACACTCTGTGTCTTTTCTGTGCCATTTATGAGAAGCACTAATTATGTACCTTTTGCTAGTATCCCTCCTTCCCTCTCACTGTTCAAATAATGAAAACTTCTGTTGAGCTGCACAAAGAGAGAAACAGCGGCTGTGTTTGGTAAGGAATAGTTACTGCATACTGACTACACACAAAATACTAACTACTATTAAAAAATGGCTTGCACAACTGTATGTCGTATGCAAACTAAACATTCAAAAATTCAATTCAATTCAAGTTTATTTGTATAGCGCTTTTCACGATACAAATTGTTGCAAAGCAACTTTACAGAAAATTAAGTTTCTACAATATTTAGTGGTAGCTTATCAGTGGTGACTGTCAGTTAATGTACATATGGCAGAAATGTACGGAAAAATCAATTAAAGACGTAATCAAACAAACGATGAACACTACTAACAGCTAAAAACAGAAACAAATAAAAATAGAGACATTATTTAGCATAGCTGCAAATATTAAATATTAAAACGCATATGGTTTGTTGAATGGAAATTCTTGGCACAAAACTGTTAATTATGGATACATGTGACAAAAATATATTAGCCTTTGTTTGTTTTTATATAATACTAATAAGTTAATATGATATTATATTTATGTTTATTAATATATTAGAATGTTATTCTATGAATATATAGTTTCTGGTAATGTTTATATTATTCTTTTAATATATTTGTATATTAAAATGTTTTACATTTTTTCTGTTTTAATCTTTCTGAGGACATTAGTTTTTTAATTAGTCATAAAAAGATGTTAAAAATATTGGTCAATAATGCTTCCAGTTCATTCAATACATTGAAGATTATGTTAAGTGTTCACTAAATTTCAGTTTTGGACATTGCACTGCTGTGTATAAAAATGACAGTAAACCTGAATTTGTCTTGTTGGATAATAATACAAGTTTGGGGTCAGTAACATTTTTTTAAAGAAATGGATACTTTTATGAATGTCCTTTTAGGGCGCATTAATATTATCAAAAGTCACAGTAAAGACATTTATAATGTTACAGACTATTTCTATTTTAAATAAATGATGTTCTTTTAAACTTTCTATTCATTAAAGAATACTGAAAAATTTAACTGTTTTTGACACATTTTTGATAATTGTCATAAATGTTTCTTGCGCATCAAATCATCATATTAGAATGATTTCTGAAGATCATGTGACGCTGAAGACTGGAGTAATGATGCTGAAAATTCAGCTTTACATCACAGTAATAAATTACATTTTACAATATATTCAAATAGAAACCAGTTATTTTAAATTGTAATAAAATTTCACAAGAATACAGTTTTAACATTTATTTTTGATCAAATAGATGCATCTCTGGTGAGTATGAGACTTTCAAAGCAAAAACTTGTGTATGCCAGATTAGCACAGCTTGACTGTTGTAACAATAGTTGTAACTGTAGTATTTCAGTAAAAACTGAGGTTACCAGGTACATTATCATACGTGTATGGCATTCCAAACAGAGCGTGTCGACTGGGTTTTCTTCAGAGAGACAATCATACAGGTATGCCTGATGTTCAGCTCTCATTCGCTCCTGTATGAGAGCGTTCTCTCTTTTTATTAGCCAATCATTATTAGTGTGCTGAAACTAGTCTGAGCAAAACATATAAGAGCCCCTGCTGTGCGTCTCATCTCTCTCTCTCTATCTTTTACTCTCTCCATCTCTCACCCACTCAACCCGCCCCCCCCCCCCCCC